ACAACATAAACAAATTGTGAAAAACTAATATATTTGTTATTTTAAATGGTGTAGACTGAGTAGTGTTTTTTAGGGAAATTGAGCCCAATAACAAAAAAAAAAATATAATTCAAACCATAACCATTTGCCATAATTCTAGTGGATTCGATTAAGCCACATAAGCTCATTTTAGTTAATTAATAAATTATTATTATTTTTTGGTTACTTTTGCAAATGACCCTTTTTATCATAAATTTAAACAATATCATAATTTAAATATTATCAGAATTTAAATAATATAATAAATTTAACAAAACGGAATACATATATGGAGAGTTTCTTTTGACGGAAACATTCGTTTTGGAGATTAAGTTAGTCGAACGAAGAAAAAATGAGAGCTTAGAGTTATGATGCAGAGAAGAGGAGTTACACCTACAAAAGTTTGATAGAGAAATAGAATACGTATTTACCAAAGATGTGGTGGCGTAGTGGTAACATAAAAAGACTGGTTCTCTTATGTTTCGAATTCAAACCCCATTTGATATGGAGGATTATTTTTTAAATCGGAATCTCTAAAGACTAAATCTGGGTACAACAAAATTATGGTTCGAAACTCCTACACTTATCGATTAAAAAAAACGCCATTGAACCTAGGTACTTCTTTTTTTTTTTCTCTCTTCAAAGTAGTAGTAACTTTTACACAAGTTTACTTTTATGGGTTTCTTTTTGACTTTACGCAAGTTTACTTAATTACCCATACTGAGTATTTTATTGTAGATATTTTTGGTTTGTGGATCTGAACCGTCGATAGAAAGTAAAAGATCGTAAGGTTTAGGATCAATTTGACTACAGAAACCGCGATGCACTGGATTGTGCCTCCCCCATAAGGTTTTTGAAATTCAAAAGTTCGAAACGGAACAAAAAAAAAAAAAGCCCAAATTAATTTACAATTAGAAGGAGCTGGTCCGGTAACGGACGAAAATTCCTAATCTTGTCATCATCAATTCTTTTTTTCTTTCTCAATCTCTCTTCTTTTCTTCTTTTAACGGCTACATTC